TTTTTATGGACTCTTAAGGCAGCACTAGCACCACTTTTGCATGGAAATCTACAAATTTTAATTGTTAGACCTCTGTGCCCTGTATCTCCCTCGTTCTTTCTTCCTTTCTGGCCACAGTGTTACATTAGAGATGTCTCTCCTATAGTATTTGAATATTTGATGTTTAAACTGTCTTTTTACATGAAGTAAAGTTACATGAACCTGAAGATAAGAAAAGAGGACCGCTGAGGCTTTTTCCATCTGTATTTATCTCCCTATCTCTATCTAATCTCCGCCTCCATCTCCATTTCTATCTCCATCTTCCTATATCTATATCATCTCCACCTGCGATTCTCTGGCAAAGCCACAAATCTTCTTTTCTTAGTTTGCTAGTTTGTTAAATTGGTATAAGGAAACCACTTGCATGTAGATATGATGTGAATAATGTTTCTTAAGTGCTTTGGGACCCTCAGCTTTGGATGAGAGATGACTGCTCTCATCACCCCCTCTGCCTGTCTGACCATAGAGATATGTGACTTTTTTCAACTTTCTCCAGTGAAAACTCTTAAATTTTAGCATCTTTTTTTTTTTTTTTTGGCATCATATCTCACTGCTATCTTCTCTGCCCTATTGGCTTCCATTTCTTTAATCATCAGCACCCTAACCCCAATTTATTTTTCCTAACATCTCCTCTGCTGGTGCGTCTGTCTATTAACACCTCTGCTCTGCCTGCAAATACAGCTGCATCAACTCCCATCTCTTTTACATCTTATTACAGCAGCTCTTTCTGAGCTGGCCTCCCCAGGATGAAGATTCCTAGATACAAGTTTTCATATACTATCACTGTCTGATTTTCTCCTATGTGCCAAAAAGCTCCACTGCAGCACTCAATCAACAAACACTCTATTCAGTTCCATTACCGTCCCATGGAGTTGCTTCCGACTTCGTGCCCTTCATCTCCCTTCCTGCATCTTTCTTGTGCCCCTTTTTTTCCTACAGCACTGCCCCTTCTCTCCACAAATAGCAGCACTCTTGGTTTGCCATTGGAAGCAGACTTCCTGCGGCTCCCTGTCTCATCAGCTTCTCATTTCAAGTAATTTAAAATGTAATTTAAAATCTCTCTATTTCCTCCAGACTATTAATTTCTCTCTCCTTACTCTTCTATAGATGTCACTCTGTGTTGCGCTATTCAGTAAGATGCGTCTGTTGTAAAAATCTACCACGGTGTTTTTATTCCATATTCTTGTTTTGTATTATCATTTTTAATGATTCTTTGTAGGAAAGATGAAATCTCAGCACAGCATCTAGCCAAAGCACAAGCAGTCACACAGGACATTCTGGCATTTGCATTGCCTTTGTTCCATTCTTCTCCTGTGGCATTTAGAACTGTAGAGGGATTATTGTGAACGGTCTAAGAGTATATAAGTAGGGTAACAGGAAGAGAATTATTTCTGGAAATTGGGAAGTGTGAGGCAGGAAGCCGTGTTTAGTCCTGGTCCTGATATGTGCTGCGCGAGCCCTCATAGGTCTCACTCCTCTTAGACAGAGATTAAAGAACTCGCCACCCTGCAAACCTGGCCTTCTTTTACTAGCAATTTCTTTGGGGACAATGTGCCCCCTGTCGCTGGAGTCACTTGAAACCAAACTTCCCAAAGCTGTAGAAATATGTAATAAACAGTTCTGGATTGGTTCAAGGGTCTCTGTTTTGGCCCAGCTGCTGCATCATCCTCTGCATCTGACTGGATTCATTAAATGTAAAAATTTGTAATCCTGACATATCAGCAATATTTTTCTTGTTATGGATGAAATCTATAATTTCTCACAGTCCTGGGGATCTCTGAAAGTCCAAATCCACAACCTCTAAAGTGACTGCTCGCTCACCCTACCAGTCTCACTAGACTCGGGTGACAACAGAGCAAGCTCCTCAGCCCAGAGACAACCTTATCTGTACAGCCCAGCATACCCTGACCCAAAACAGCACTACCATTTGTGACAGTAAAATAAACATTTAACCACATAGGCTACACAGTTGAATCCCTTCTTTCCCTCTCTTCTTTGAAAGAACGCTGGTGTGTAAGGATGGTTGAGCTTTCAGAGGGTCTAAACCCTTTTTGCTTCCACTCACTCCTGCCAGATTGCTTGTGTGGCTTTGCTGGAAGAGCTGTGCTATACTTTTTTTGAGAGTGCAGGGTAACAGAAGAGCCCATCTTCTTTGGAGCTATGAGCTCCACAGATTTCCAGATTTTCCTTTTCCATACACACAGGCAATGCTGGTGCCTGATGGGTTTGAGTTCAAGAATAGCCAGCTGAAGTTTTTCAGGCTCCTGGCCCAGCGTTTCTACCCTCCTTCGAAGAATGAGGAGACTTGAATACTGGTGTGGGGTTGGAGGGGAACAACCACCAACAGAAAAAGAAAATGGCCTTAAGTCACAAGAATTACTTACCCCTCCCTCTTCAAGGCTGCTTCCTTCTTTCGGTGGAAATATCTCAGGAGAGGAGATCTAGGGTGATCTTCCCTAGCTTCCCCAGCTAAGAGCCTCACGGAGCCTTCTTTTCAACTCAGGCCATCCCTGCAGAACCATAATCCCCTACCAGTTTAGGGGTGTTCTCTACATCTCCCAGCCTCTCAAATTGCTTTGAACCAAGGACAACAGTTCAGAGAACCTGTCCACAGCCACCACCCTCCACACTCTCGCAGCAGGCTGTACTCAGAGTGCTAGAGCTGCACTGGGGCCACCTCCCCCCTTGCCCATCCTTAGCTGTTTGGCAACTCCATGAGTGCAGAAAGAGACCTCTAGCCTCTGTGGCAAAGGGCAAGGCCAGGATTCTCCCAGGTGAGGCTAGGGACTGTGTTTTTCCCTTCAAAATGAGTCAGTGGTCTCAACCTGCACTGTCTCCTCGCACTCCTCGCTCAGTCCGTCCCTTCTTCTGCCTCTCCCAGGGTCTTCCTGCCTGCTGGTGGTGATCTGCATGTGGCTGATGCCAGACCCCGTAAGGGCTGGCTGGTAAACACCTCTACCTTGGTCTCAGCTGTGAGAGCAGCCCAGTTTGTGCCCTCCAAACTGGGAAGATGATCTGTGGTCTGTAGGGCAGCCAATTATCCCCCCTGCTGCTTGCTATAGAGCCCTTCACGTCCAACAGTCCTAGGGCAGATTGTCCTAAAAGGGCAACCCCGGTCTGCACCCAGGGAGGGAGAAGAGAGAAGGGATAAATGGAATTATGAAATTGCAATGTGACTGAAGCACTCCAACTGGTTCAACTTCCCAGCACCCCCTTCCCTCAGCCCCTCTCTCCCGCACAGAACAGCAGTGAACCTAAAGCAGCTCTTCTGGTCTCTTTTTCACTGAACAATGAATCCGATCAGAGAGAAACAAAATCGGTAGCATCGAGAATTAGATTATTTCTTTTCTTTATGGTTGTTGCATTAATGAGCAGATACATGTATAGAACCGGGAGGTGACTAATGTAATTAACCTGGTGTAATGATACTGCTGAGGAAGAGAGAGAGGATTATGACATACTTAGATGTCAGTATTGCACAATTTTGTATGTGTTTCTGGTACTATCGGGTTGTGTCTGACAGAGGAAACTTAAGCAGTGATAGATTTCAGTCTGCGTCCATTCAGCTCATGCATCTTTCTGTGTAGAACAAGGATGTGAAAGGTGGATTGCTTTCTGGGGATTGGGGGAGGGAAGGGATTCAGTTTCGGTGGTTCCTTTCCTTAACATAATAATACTACTACTAATAAATCGTCCTTTCTCATGAAGAATCTTCCCAAAATGTCTGCTTCTTGGAGCAGGCATTGGGATTTCACATAAAGCTATAAAGACAAAGTCAGAAGGCAGGGATTCACACAGCACTGGTCAGGGGGAGACAGAGGGACGGAAAACGAGCAGCACCAAAACATATGCAACTTGCAGCAAACCCGGGAAGAGTGAAGAGCAAGCACTTAAAAAAAATCATATCAGCAGCAATAATAACAGTAATAAATGCTTATTTTTAAATTACCCTTCCACGCTACATTTCACCCGTCTCCCGGGGAGAGAAAGGGCTGGCCACCGAAGTTTTGTGCGGGTCTGGCTGGGGTGTGCAGGGTTGCACGGGTCTGGCTGGGGTGTGCA